ATAACTTTTTAAAATTATATTAAAAATTTACATTCTTTAAACATCAATATTTAACGAGTTATCAAATTTTGCAAAACAAAGAATTTTAGAACATCCTTACATATAAAACTTTCATGTAAAGTTCGTTTGTAAAGGTCACAAAGCATATGAATGGGTTGAATGAATGTAAAAGAGACAAAACATACTGTTAGACGGAGAGGCTTGTAATGCGGCGCTGTGGCAACGAATGAAAAGTCTCTGAACGTATGAATCAGTCAGATGTAGTTTTATAGCATGTTACAAATTTTGTTTCTTTTTTACTTTAGTTTGTTTGATAAATATTTCTTTTTAATTATGGATTTTCTTAACGTTAATATTTTTTTATGATTATTGGCAAGTAGCGTTAGACGTGTGTTAATTTATTGTCGCGGTGGTAAAGACACGCTGTATATCAAACATGGTAGATCAACAATAGCAGGATTGGCCAGTTCAAACTTGGCGCGGATAAAAGTATTACCAGTTTTGCGCTTCGTCTGATGGGTGACGTAACTGGAAGTCCACGCTTTTGGAGTCCCGTGCTTATTGGTTTACCCCGTGTTTAGTTTCCATCCCTCTGGAATAAAAATATCTGCTAGACGTAGGTCCGGTATCAACATATTACACGCCCTTGCCACTTACTTCGGACCGATGTTTATGTTGAAGTGGTGCCTTATAGTTCTTAATACTTCTCTGTCAAGTGTGCACTACTTCTATCATATGGACGTCAGTGTTGTAAAAGGCCATCTAGCTCCTCTGCACTCTGTTTATCACTTCTAACATGTCCCCAGCACAGGCGGAGTTGCCATAGTCATGTAGATCCTGAAGATGACGATCCTCCCATCGAAGAATAGTTTACAATGAAGGAATCAAATTATAAAAAATAAAACTTAGCATTTAATGAACAGAGCCGGGAAAGCTTATTGTCCGGGCGCTCGGGCGGTTACTTTACTTTTTTTACTTTAATGTAATGGATAACTTTTGGCTAAATAAAAGAATACTTATTCAGAAATAGAATGAAGTCGCCATAAAGTGTTGAAAAGTCAGAGTTAAAAAATTATACCTGATAAAATCCATGTAAGTTTAATCATACAATATGCATTATTGGCGTTAATACAAAAATCATAAACGCGTACTAATTTTAAATAAGGAGCCCCAATGCCGATTCATGTAATCGTAAATTACGCTGCGAAACATTTTACACACGCACAGATGAATTATATACATAAAGATATTACAAGAAAGTATTAAACAAACCTACAGTAGGTACTATTAGGGTAGTGATGCATGGAAATATATTCGTTATAGTCGAGTAATCAACAAATATATTCGTGTATCACAGAAGTAAACAATAGAAGGACAACAGTGGTTCAGTATCGACGACGAACAGCCGTTGTTTGGCACAACAATCCGCCACTTGTCCGCCGCGTTTGCCTTTATCTCGTAAACTTTGTAATTGAAAATGGCCGACGCGGGTCACGAGCTATCGGCCGTTTTGTTTCTCAACGGCTTAATTGCCGTCCGGCATCTGGCATTGATATTGATAAGGGCGTTATCTTAGGAAGCATCCTTGGACAAGTCGAAGGAAGTTCGCAGCACGTTGCGAATATCGGTCACACTATGAACGGTACGGTAATAAAAATGTTTATTTGTTAACTTTTTAATGCACTGGCCAGTTAAAATAAAAGAACGTAATATGTTTTCAACGTAACGTAACGTAACAATTTTCTGGTTTAATAACAATTATCATCAGTTTTAAAAAGATATCTTGATTCAGTTCATGACGTCTGCAACACCTCAATGTCAGGGTATTTCAAATGTATGTTAGAATAAGATACTGAATAGAATGTAAGCATAGTGCGTTCAATATTTAAGCGAACCTTAAGTAAAAGGAGGAAAAATAATTGATTATTTTAACGTTGCTGATGCTTCGAAGGTAATTCATTAAAATAATTATAATCCTCCGTCTTCGAAACTCATTTACCTACTCTGAGATTTTAAAATTAACATTTTAAATGTTACTTTAAACACAGACACACGGCTTGTCGTTAACAGTAGGAACATAAAAAAGTATGCACTTTAATAAAAGATGTATAATTTGTGTTTGGTTTTTTGACGTCCTATACTTCTTTTGACGTGTTTCAAAAAATTGTGAGCATGCAATAAATTGTGAGCAGTGTATTTGATGCGCATTATGACCATTAAAAGATTTAAAGTTTCTTCTTATCGTATAAATAAATATATACAATCAACGATTTTTATATAGCACGAAATGAATGTTTCTTGTTTTGGATTAATATGTATGTACATAAAAATATTAAACTATCTCAAATAGATAAGATATGAGAATAGCTTCGTTTAAATTAATAACACAGTCGGTATGTTTTTACTCAACGATAAGGTTAAAACAACATTTCAAATATATTCTATTAAAAATACCACTAACAGTTTTATAAACTGAGAAGCTAAATCTTACAGTTTAAATTAAATGTTGCCGACGTTTTCAGCCAGATACGTACTTCATGTGATTTATCGGTCCGAATGTTGCCAACTTCCTCGTTTCTATTTTATTTTTCAAAATTATATATTGAAATTTCGGTTTGTCATTCGTATTTTATTTTATCGATATTCAAACAATGTAAAGTTAAAAATCCAATTTTACAACGTTATTGTTCTTTTCACGTTTTAAAATGTAGCAATAAATAGTACAATTAATTTAAAATTGTTAATTATATAGAACACTAATGGTTTTATAGGTATTTTTTTATTATAGGTAATTTTCTTTATATCCGTGTATATACATTGTATATGTTTTATTCTATTTACTTCCCAACTTCGGTAAAAATAAACATGATGATTATATTAACTATAGAACAACTAGCTTACACTCAGGGTTTCGGCCTGAGAATGAAATTTTTATATTCCAATCTTCCAAATTGTGCATAGCAAAACGAAACATTCACTAAAATTTTAGTAAAAAGCCCTGTTTTATTAATTTAATATAATTTTTGTTATGATCCATTTCGGAGCCTATTTTAAACAAAAATTCAGACCGAAACATAAAAGTTATAAAAATCATGATTAGGACTCGTATACCTAAATAGTTTCCGCGCTTAGGATTCGTAATTTATTTTGAAATCACAGACATACACTTTTATTCTATTATTGGTATATCTACATATGTTTCCATCACCTTACCTTCAGGTGGAATAGTTACTAAGCCCAATTAATCCAATGCCGGAAGTATATAATATATATATATATTATAAATATGAAGTATATTATATATTAATGTCCTAGCTGCATATATTGTCACGACTTCAAAAAAGGAGGAGGCTTTCAATTTGGTTGATTTTTTTGTTTGTTATCAGAGTTCCTCATTTATGAATAAATTTTTCGAAATTATTTTTGCATTGAGTTTGGTTCAACACCCGTGTTATTACCCTTATTATTTCATTGATTCTTCCTTCCTAAAATCATGAACTGAACACCTCTAAATCTTCGAAAGTTTGACGTCATTTTAACATAGGACATCAGGCGCGCACGTTTAAACAGTCAATTGTTATGCTGTGGGTTCTCCACCAACATTTGTCATCGCACGATACAAGTCCCTTCTATTTGGCGTTCAAATTTACATTCCGACCAGTGTACCTAGATAGTATCACATATCGACGATGCTCATTCATTTTTTGCCCAACGCTCGGCCAACCTGTCTGACATTGGCAGAAGTTCGATGAACTCGGCCACTTCTGATTGATTAAGGTTGTCAACCCGTTGCGAAGTGTAAAAAAACTACATTTGACATTCTTCGGTACACGAAAAATCAAAAAAAATTGCTATAACAAAGTCTACCCTATATTTTTCCACAGTCGGGGTACAGTCTTATTTTTAAATTTTACTTAACTTTATCTTTACAAGTCAATGGTAATATTTTTTGCTAATCATTACAAATTTCCCGATTCATACGTTTCATTTCATATGATTGTCTATATATTTTGGTAGGCTGTGAAATTGACACTAATTGAGTTGGACAAGAGTAGTTTCACTTTGAAAGTTGGTGGTCTGTGTAGGGTTAAACATGTTCGTGAAACATACAATCAGGTGCTTGTATGTTTCACGATAGACTTAGTTTTCATATTTTAGTGTGGTTTAAATAAACATTATTATTATAGTACGTAAGCAACTTTCGCAAAAATAGAAGGTAAGAATGTTAAACATTGAGAAAAAATTTAAAGTAGAAGTCTTCACGTTCGCAGTCCGCAGTCTTTTGCTTATAAATTCTTGCAGTTATTATTGTTTATAATTTGTGTATAATTTAACTTTTTATTTATAATTTAAGTGGCAAACAAGTGGCAACCCTAACATTCTCAGTACCTACGAACTTAAATGTAATTATTGTTCGGTACAGCTGAATGGATTATACACAAGATTTGCTTTCTTAGAAGTTTCAGTTGTGCTCAAATTTAATTTACCGAATTGCTATAAAATTCGTATATTGAATAAAAGTAAAAGCATTCAAACAATAACAATAAACTATATGTTTATTTATTTTTATTTGACAAGGCTCTAAGAATTTATATGAACTATATAATATTTTAAATTCATATTCGAGTCAGCATACTATGGCGGCTAAATTAAAGCTTTCAATTTCAGCAAATGCTGTAACGACCCTTTGTTTTGATAGCACTTAGAAATATTTAAAATGTATTTTGAAGATTATGTAAAGGTTCTCAGGTCCCACTATGGATATACAAACATATCAAATTGTAATAAATTTATGTATTTAATCTGTGGTAATGCTAGTCAATTTAATGGAAAGCAGGGTAGTGGGAGACCGAGGATAGGCTATATATCTCAAATAAAGAAAAAAATAAATGTTGGTTGCTATAGAGAGGTAAGGGAGAGGGCTATGAACAGGGAAGGATGTAGGGTGTTACACAGCTGAACTGCTGTGATGCTGCACCGATAAGAGCCTAGCTCATGAAATGAAGGAGAAGAATGCTAGTCACTTATCATGTGTTTCTCCCACAGTTGTCTATTGCGATTACAACGGCTCCGGGCGGGCTCTGCAATGGATAGAGGACTACATCGTGAAAGACGTGCTGCCGACGCATGCCACGCGGTGCACCGCCCTCTCGTACACCTCCGGACAGAGTGAGATCTACAGGTAACATCCTTCTTTTTATTTATGTAAAAGTTGCCACGTGAGCAGGACGTTTGGATATGGATGTCTACATCACCAAATCATTTGTTCGTCGAAGTAAGAAATTAGCATTTCAACTATCGATAGTCATTTTTTTAAATCTACCACCGTTTCTTAATGTGGTTCCTCTAACACAGAAGCAGGCGAAAGAAACTCCGTAGGTCGGTCAGGTTATTGATGCATTGCCAACCGTTATGAAGTAGGGATAACCGACGAGACGAAACGTGACAGTATAATACTACCATTTCTCTTCAGTCTTCTGTGAGGTCAAGGTCTTTCTCCGGACGAGGAACAACGGAATCTGATGAAGTGAAACGAATGAAAATTCGAGCTCTTTTTAATCAAATTAGACTTTTTCAAGCATTATGTACATCAAGGTCGAGAATTTAGATCTTCCCAAAGCATTTACGGATTACTCTTTTTTTTAATATATGTATATGAAACAATATCGTCAGGCTCAAATCAGCAGCAGTCGAGACATGCAGGATTTCATATCCACGTATCCTGAACCTCGATTTACTGGTCTTGTTTCTTAAAAAGTTATTTCTATCAAACATACTTTTTGCTTCCGCTCAATCTACGACTGTACAGATCCTAAAACGTACTCATTAGACTGCGCAATAACCTATTTTTGTGAAATAACCACTTTTGCAACGTCCTCCGCCTCCGTCGTCTGCGTGGGTTAAAGTTTTGTCCACGAAATGCAGTTGAAGAATGTGGGGAACATTTATTAAATGTTGGCAACGCATCTGCAACCCATCAAGTATTATAGAAGTTCATGGGAGGCGGTAATCACTTAACATCAGGAGAACCACCAGATAGCTTGCCAAATTTTGTCATAAAATGTAAGATTCCATAACAAGTCATAAGAAGAAGATGTTAATGTTGCGTAACTCTCGTATTGAATTTATTTTAAGAAACATGTTTTATTTATGCTCTAATTAATCTTTTTAGCTTATAATGGGACTCTATTTTGAATTTTAATTGCTTCTGCGTAAAGAGCGAAAACAAATTCAACCTCGTATAATATCATATATCGCATATTTTTATCCTAATTTGCTAAACATTCAGGTTTCTTTACGATGTTTTCCTTCAATATGACCCAAGGAGTCATAGTTTTCATACTCATTTTCAGACTTTTATTCCATGCTGTACATATTGTACCAGTTAGTCTAGATAAAATGTGTTTTTATAGGTTTTTACGTGGATTCTATTTCTAGTCGAATAGGCGACATAATATCAAGACGTCTGCAATTTGAGTTTTTGAGAGCATGTCCGGAACTATTTTCTACTATTGGGAACCTTGAGTAACTTCAGTAGTCAAATGAGGGTATGAATACTCCTAATAGAAGAATAAACCAGGTCTGTCGAGTAGATACTCGTTCCAGATGGAACAGGGCTATCACATCTGCGTTGTTATGTGTTGAATCGATATATAATACCCCTTTCAAATGATATAAATCGAGAGGGTAGTGTATTTTAAGGTTTTGCACGCAATGCCGTTTGCAAATACTAGGTATACTGACGCCATTTTGCATGCATGCGATGCGATTTGTTTCAATTATATTAACATAGACTTTTACGCAGAATGCAATATTAACGATTCTCTTGTTTGGACTAATCAAACAACTAATAGGTATTTTTCTTACCACCAGGAAAGAATCCAAGGCGATTATCGGCAACGCGGTTGGCGCTAGTACAGATGACGTCATCGTCCTTGGGGCCTCCTTGCCCCGGTTTCTCCGCGCGCTGCGACCTCAGAGGGTAGCCCTCTTCGTGTCCTCGCGGGAAACGGAGAGACAGCTGGCGCCTTGGAGGGAGTTCAAAGCTGAGGTAAGCGATAATAAATATCCTTCTATATGCTAGGTGGGGCCGGCAGCAGTACAACATGTAAATCGTGTTGTTAATGTTATTTGTTAGGCTTTTTACGTCCGGCCCAGAAACAACACCCAGAACAGGAAAAATTATCTGTGGGTCACACAAATACTTGTTCCGCGTGGGAATGGTACCAACGACCCCTGGCACCGAAGCCTAGCTTAGCGAATGCGCCACCGTCATATTATTTATTTGGCGAAAAGAGAATAATAAGTTTACCTCGTTCGTCGTCTGCTTGTCTCTGCGACAGTAAAGACCCCATCTTACGATTACGCAAACTTATCAAGTTGTTCATGGTAAATACTAAACGAAGTTCCTTGGCGGTGTAAAAAATTCACAAACAAAATCTATAAGTAGGTAGCTGACCAAAAATCATAAAAATTGACTAAGGGCGAAGTTGATTAAGAGCACTTAAGTTGAAGGGAAATAATTAATAATTTGTTAGGTTTTAGATAATTAATTTCTTACGAAAGTCTCAGAAATCCCCGATCATTTTCTTATTTACTTTATTTGCAAATGACCTACACATTTGCAGATTATATTCCACTAAGTAGTGAATACAAGTAGAAATAACATGTAAAGTAAGATACAGCAAAATAACATGTTTCATTACAAACATCAGGTATTAGACGCGATACCAAACAATGACTAAATGAATGACCATTTATTTGCTCTTCATAAAGGTAATCATTTAATGAATAAATAATACTCTGTGTATTGTGATAAATCGATGTGAGATAGCGAATTATATTGCGATATCATTTTACATCACAATCGCGACAGATATGACGACGCGCGATGTTAAGGCCCATTTACACGGTGCAAGTTTCTTGCCTGTTATATACAATTAAATTGAAGCAATAAATGAGTTGCATTGTCTAAACAGCACATAACATTCTTGACTGTTGAACAAGACTTGCTTCAAGTTTTGTTTCAAAACTTTCCTTGGTGTAAACAGCACACACAATAATTTCTTAAGCAATTCTTGTATTCAATTGCATTCTCTCTTCCTTTGCAAAAATTAGTGCAATGAGTGACGGTATTTAATCATTGCTGTTCTTTTGAGGATAGAAATATTGAGAAAAGGTCGTAAAAAAAGTTTGGATAAAAATATGAATAATAATATATGGATCATAATAAATAAATCTCAATGAAATATATTTAATCGGCATAATCTAACTTGAACACTTATTATTGAGCCATTTTTAAAAAAAAACAGCCATTTGTAAAACGTTCAACACTTGCATGAAAAATTTGTCAACGCAAATACGTGCAATACTTGAAGCAACACGCCAATAAATTGTACACGCACATACAAGCATGTGTTTAGACAAGTCAAAACTTGAAAGCAATAATCGCCTAAACATAATTGCATTGGTGTAAAAAAAGACATTTGCAATTATTTCTTGTCAAGACTTGCATTCAATAATCGCATTCAATTTTTTTTACTATATCTGCGTGTAAACTGTTGCTTACAATTCTTGATGGTCAATTATTGCGTGCAACTTATTGCATTCAATTATTGCTCTTGTATGTACAAGAAAATGGCATCGTGTAAATGGGCCTTTATCGTTTTGCTTGTTATTTGTATCGATACATAACTTTGAAACTGATTAGGAGATCACTAATTTGCACTGTATGCGAGTGAGAGGTCCGATATGTTACAAATAAATATAAACTGCTCTTATATTGCAATATAATTTTACGGTTGTGCATTTTTTACGCTATTTTATCAAAATCAAAATCAATGTCTTTATTCAACATAGGAGCATTACACTCGCTTATTGATAGTCAAAACACTACCACCGGTTCGGAAAAGAAAGCCACTGTACTGAGAAGAACCGGCGAAAGAAACTCAGCGGGTTTTTTTTTATATAAGCAGTTTGACATGAATTCATAAAAAATACGATATAAGGACTCTGAATGAAAGAGCCTGGAAGAGCGATCAGTTCATTACCAGAGTGTGTTAACATTTAAATAATCATTAATATTATAGTAGCCTTTAACACACAAACGTTTAGATATCTAAGACTTAGATAAAATATAACATTTTATTATTACAGTTTGTACATGACATGCCCAATAGAACGATGATTTGTTCCATCCAAATTTTTATAATTTTTGGTCAAAAGTTAATATTAATAAGCAAAGCAGTCTCACGAATCTTTCTACATTTGTATGAATTCAACGGGTTTAAAGCCCATTAAATATTTTTTTAGTAGGTCTTAAAAAAATAAATACATTTTTGGCAAAGTATCTTTCGCTTTATAAGATACAACTAAAGTTGGTTACGTGTAGGCGTAGGCGATTAGCGTTATGTCTGCGCGATGTTTTAAAAGCCTAACAACGATAAAAATAAAAAAAAAAAAAAAAAAATTTAGACTTCCAAATTCTATCTGAAAAATTTTAATAATATTTTACTGGAGCAACAACTCAACAAGATTGTCGCTAACAATATAAACTCTTACAAAACTTCGCCTGCAATGTATGACATGACAAAGAAGCAAAGCCTTCTCAATAAACCTTTTTTTGGGTTGTGATTAAGTGTAGGCAATTAGTTAACCTCAGGCTATTGTCTTATCTTTTAGATTGACCGCTGACTCGCATTCCTTCTTTTTATATATAATGTGTGTTAAGATAGGAAAGTAAAAAAAAAATGTTCTTACTTATTTTTTAAACACGATTCGTATAAATACAAGTACAATAGACGGTAATGGACTCAGTACCTGTCAAAAGGACCCATGTCAAGCGATTTATATTCCAAGAGAAGTATTTTCACATTGAAACATCTTGCGTTGGTGTTTTAAACATGTTTTTTATTATTTTAAGTTTTACAAGCAAAGGTGCCAAGGCGGCAACACACTTTTGGGTTGGAAATGTGAAGTCAGTTTATAAAATAAAGTTACATCGGCTAATCGCACACCAAAAGTCGTAAAATTATTATACTTACACTTTTCCCAGGCCTTCTGTGAGCCTTTTGTGGACTATCCAACACTTGCTATGTAATTATACATGCCGTTTTTCCATAGAAACATATTTCTTTCTAAAAATTCTTTTTGAAAATGACCTGTACATCAATATTACATCATACTCTGTTGTAGAGTAGTTACAAAAACTAATTGGTCAATTCTATAAGTCAAAAAGTAGTATAGCTTACACTCAGGTCGAGATAAATATTTTTTACACGAAGTTCTCTAGCCCCATACAAGGTAACGCTTATGGCCTACTACATGACTGTAAAAAATATTTAAATATGTATAAATACGTATAAATAAATACACATTATAGACATAAACAGACACTGCAAAACACTATGTTAATCACACACCTTCTGGCTCAATAAATTGTTTCGCAAGCCACTACGCCAATCGGGTCGTTTTAAATATTTACATAACTTAACTATCGATATTCTGGACTCCCGGCGATCTTAGAAAATTACTTCATTTTTAAAAATTTGAAATCGTATAATATATCCCCGTCTTTTCGGTCTCCCTGAAAATGAGCTCTGTTTAAAGTATCTTTCTAGACGCCAAGGAACAGTCATGCAAGCCTTTAATAGGAGGAATAAATAGTGTAGTGTCTTTGCGATTAAACTGTGCCTCCTCCAACCAACGGACTATCGGCTATGGAATTGTTTTTCGACTCGCTATCGGTTTCAAACGAGATGGCGAATGCATTGAAGGATACACCGTGGCTGTCACGTCTCTCGATAAGTATGCAAAACTATCGCACCTATTACGTGTACCCAAGGTCGTAAAAACAGTTGCTATATTGCATGCGCAAACAGGGTAAACAGGGTTGCCGATATTTCACATCTGTGAATTAGTTGTTTGTAGATTATATTTTTCCTTAATTTTAAGCAGCCAAATGTATGTTTACTGAGATTAAAAGACTCTTTGGCCGTCTGCGGATGATGGTAAGTTATGACTGGTCTATCTACTTCTGGCCGGTCTTCTGTGAGGTCGTACTTCCCCGGACTTGCCCATTCGTGCATCAGCGAGGCCAACCTAACCCGTAGTTTATTCTATGTTTAGCTGTTGTCTGAGATTCTCTTGAGGACACAATATCGTTCGTTGTGCAAACTAAGGGATATGTCCTTAATTCCATGCGGGTGATTAGTGGTTCCTAAGGCGGGATCATCAAATGCAGTGCTCTTTGTGAAGCATTCAGCAGTGGACTCCTAAAGGATGCAGCGATTGATTAAACATGATTATTTTATGTCATTGTATTTCTTCGCATTCTCTTCACAGTTTGGGGAAGGTGCGTTAAAATATTTTATGCTAATTACATGCAAGAATATAGCAGTTGGTGTCGATTTGTTATTGTTATTGTCGTAATGAGGAAACTTAGTAATTAGGTCATTATGTGTATTGATAAACTACGCCGGTCTATTATGAAATTGTTCATAGTTATGTTTTGCTCGCATCATGTAAATCTATTGTTATTGACATTGAAAATCACACATACATATTCTGCTTAATTGATTGCTTTGTTTATATTTTTTTACGTAAAATCACGTACACGTTTCAAGAATGTGATTACATTGTAATATTTATAATATAATAAATTGCTGTCAGTATTATCAGCTATAAACAACAGATAACTAGAAACGTTGATAAGACCCAAAAGCGGTCTAAGTGTTGAACTAGACGCTCATTACAGAAGCACTGCGTGGTGGATTCGTCTGTAATGCAGACGAATCCACCACGCAGTGCGTTAATCAAAAGGATATTTGACGAATACCTGGAGAAATGGATAGTGAAACTATCGTGTTGTCACTTGCGCCAGAGGGTGTGGGTTCGATTCCCTCTACTGGAGAAATGTTGTGTGATGAACATTGTCTTTCTAGTATCTCGGTATTTATTTACAAAAGAAAAGTACGTTTAGCAATTACCTAGTGCCAGCGGTAGAAGCTTTTCTTAATTTAGATAACTTTGAGAAAATTGTTGTCCTCAAAA